CAAGATCTGAGACTGTGGACATGGTCAAGGGCTAAGGTAGCTAAGGGAAAGCAAGATCTGAGACTGTGGACAGGGTCAAGGGCTAAGGTAGCTAAGGGAAAGCAAGATCTGAGGCTGTGGACAGGGCCAAGGGCTAAGGTAGCTAAGGGAAAGCAAGATCTGAGACTGTGGACAGGGCCAAGGGCTGAGGTAGCTAAGGGAAAGCAAGATCTGAGACTGTGGACAGGGCCCAGGGCTAAGGTAGCTAAGGTGAAGCAAGATCTGAGACTGTGGACAGGGCCAAGGGCTAAGGTAGCTAAGGGAAAGCAAGATCTGAGACTGTGGACAGGGCCAAGGGCTAAGATAGCTAAGGGAAAGCAAGATCTGAGACTGTGGACAGGGCCAAGAGTTAAAGTAGCTAAGGGAAAGAAAGATCTGAGACTGTGGACAGGGCTAAGGTAGCTAAGGGAAAGCAAGATCTGAGACTGTGGACAGGGTCAAGGGTTAAGGTAGCTAAGGGAAAGCAAGATCTGAGACTGTGGACAGGGCTAAGGGCTAAGGTAGCTAAGGGAAAGCAAGATCTGAGACTGTGGACAGGGCCAAGGGCTAAGGTAGCTAAGGCAAAGCAAGATCTGAGACTGTTGACAGGGTCAAGGGTTAAGGTAGCTAAGGGAAAGCAAGATCTGAGACTGTGTACAGGGCTAAGGTAGCTAAGGGAAAGCAAGATCTGAGACTGTGGACAGGGCCAAGGGTTAAGGTAGCTAAGGGAAAGCAAGATCTGAGACTGTGAACAGGGCCAAGGACTAAGGGAAAGCAAGATCTGAGACTGTGGACAGGGTCAAGGGCTAAGGTAGCTAAGGGAAAGCAAGATCTGAGACAGTGAACAGGGCCAAGGACTAAGGGAAAGCAAGATCTGAGACTGTGGACAGGGTCAAAGGCTAAGGTAGCTTAGGGAAAGCAAGATCTGAGACTGTGGACAGGGTCAAGGGCTAAGGTAGCTAAGGGAAAGCAAGATCTGAGGCTGTGGACAGGGCCAAGGGCTAAGGTAGCTAAGGGAAAGCAAGATCTGAGACTGTGGACAGGGCCAAGGGCTGAGGTAGCTAAGGGAAAGCAAGATCTGAGACTGTGGACAGGGCCCAGGGCTAAGGTAGCTAAGGTGAAGCAAGATCTGAGACTGTGGACAGGGCCAAGGGCTAAGGTAGCTAAGGGAAAGCAAGATCTGAGACTGTGGACAGGGTCAAGGGCTAAGATAGCTAAGGGAAAGCAAGATCTGAGACTGTTGGACAGGGCCAAGAATTAAAGTAGCTAAGGGAAAGAATGATCTGAGACTGTGGACAGGGCTAAGGTAGCTAAGGGAAAGCAAGATCTGAGACTGTGGACAGGGTCAAGGGTTAAGGTAGCTAAGGGAAAGCAAGATCTGAGACTGTGTACAGGGCTAAGGGCTAAGGTAGCTAAGGGAAAGCAAGATCTGAGACTGTGGACAGGGCCAAGGGCTAAGGTAGCTAAGGCAAAGCAAGATCTGAGACTGTTGACAGGGTCAAGGGTTAAGGTAGCTAAGGGAAAGCAAGATCTGAGACTGTGGACAGGGCTAAGGTAGCTAAGGGAAAGCAAGATCTGAGACTGTGGACAGGGCTAAGGTAGCTAAGGGAAAGCAAGATCTGAGACTGTGGACAGGGCCAAGGGTTAAGGTAGCTAAGGGAAAGCAAGATCTGAGACTGTGAACAGGGCCAAGGACTAAGGGAAAGCAAGATCTGAGACTGTGGACAGGGTCAAGGGCTAAGGTAGCTAAGGGAAAGCAAGATCTGAGACAGTGAACAGGGCCAAGGACTAAGGGAAAGCAAGATCTGAGACTGTGGACAGGGTCAAGGGCTAAGGTAGCTAAGGGAAAGCAAGATCTGAGACTGTGGACAGGGTCAAGGGCTAAGGTAGCTAAGGGAAAGCAAGATCTGAGGCTGTGGACAGGGCCAAGGGCTAAGATAGCTAAGGGAAAGCAAGTCTGAGACTGTGGACAGGGCCAAGGGTTAAGGTAGCTAAGGGAAAGCAAGATCTGAGACTGTGGACAGGGCCAAGGGCTAAGGTAGGTAAGGGAAAGCAAGATCTGAGACTGTGGACAGGGTCAAGGGTTAAGGTAGCTAAGGGAAAGCAAGATCTGGGACTGTGGACAGGGCTAAGGTAGCTAAGGGAAAGCAAGATCTGAGACTGTGGACAGGGTCAAGGGTTAAGGTAGCTAAGGGAAAGCAAGATCTGAGACTGTGGACAGGGCTAAGGTAGCTAAGGGAAAGCAAGATCTGAGACTGTGGACAGGGCCAAGGGCTAAGGTAGGTAAGGGAAAGCAAGATCTGAGACTGTGGACGGGGCTAAGGTAGCTAAGGCAAAGCAAGATCTGAGACTGTGGACAGGGCCAAGGGTTAAGGTAGCTAAGGGAAAGCAAGATCTGAGACTGTGAACAGGGCCAAGGACTAAGGGAAAGCAAGATCTGAGACTGTGGACAGGGTCAAGGGCTAAGGTAGGTAAGGGAAAGCAAGATCTGAGACTGTGGACAGGGCTAAGGTAGCTAAGGGAAAGCAAGATCTGAGACTGTGGACAGGGCCAAGGGCTAAGGTAGCTAAGGGAAAGCAAGATCTGAGACTGTGGACAGGGTCAAGGGCTAAGGTAGCTAAGGGAAAGCAAGATCTGAGACTGTGGACAGGGCCAAGGGCTAAGGTAGGTAAGGGAAAGCAAGATCTGAGACTGTGGACAGGGCTAAGGTAGCTAAGGCAAAGCAAGATCTGAGACTGTGGACAGGGCCAAGGGTTAAGGTAGCTAAGGGAAAGCAAGATCTGAGACTGTGAACAGGGCCAAGGACTAAGGGAAAGCAAGATCTGAGACTGTGGACAGGGTCAAGGGCTAAGGAAGCTAAGGGAAAGCAAGATCTGAGACTGTGAACAGGGCCAAGGACTAAGGGAAAGCAAGATCTGAGACTGTGGACAGGGTCAAGGGCTGAGGTAGCTAAGGGAAAGCAAGATCTGAGACTGTGGACAGGGTCAAGGGCTAAGGTAGCTAAGGGAAAGCAAGATCTGAGACTGTGGACAGGGCCAAGGGCTAAGGTAGGTAAGGGAAAGCAAGATCTGAGACTGTGGACAGGGCCAAGAGTTAAAGTAGCTAAGGGAAAGCAAGATCTGAGACTGTAAACAGGGCCAAGGGCTAAGGTAGCTAAGGGAAAGCAAGATCTGAAACTGTGGACAGGGCTAAGGTAGCTAAGGCAAAGCAAGATCTGAGACTGTAGACAGGGCCAAGGGTTAAGGTAGCTAAGGGAAAGCAAGATCTGAGACTGTGGACAGGGGTAAGGTAGCTAATGAGAAGCAAGATCTGAGACTGTAGACAGGGCCAAGGGCTAAGGTAGCTAAGGGAGAGCAAGATCTGAGACTGTGGACAGGGCTAAGGTAGCTAAGGCAAAGCAAGATCTGAGACTGTAGACAGGGCCAAGGGCCAAGGACTAAGGGAAAGCAAGATCTGAGACTGTTGACAGGGCCAAGGGCTAAGGTAGCTAAGGGAGAGCAAGATCTGAGACTGTGGACAGGGCCAAGGGCTAAGGTAGCTAAGGGAAAGCAAGATCTGAGACTGTGGACAGGGCTAAGGTAGCTAAGGAGAAGCAAGATCTGAGACTGTAGACAGGGCCAAGGGCTAAGGTAGCTAAGGTAGAGCAAGATCTGAGACTGTGGACAGGGCTAAGATAGCAAAGAGCAACAATTGCTGAGGGTTCACATGTGTCCAAGGAATTCAATTTTAAATGTTAGTAGGCACTCAGGATTGTATAGGTTTCTGTTGGCTGCGATGCTATGGACAATCACCACTTAAGACTGAAAAGTGTTTGTAAAGACTGAGATTGTAAAGTGTTCCCAAGAGCTAAGACAGTGTAGTTTTCTGCTTGACACTTTAGTGATAATCACATGATGCAACAACAGAAATGTCATTACAAAATGTTAAAGCAAGAATAATATCATCTTAAGACTCATGGATGGTATGCCATCATCACACGGTGCTGTAGCAGCAGTGATGTCAACATGAGATGCCACACAGAGAGTGACATCACCACAAGAACATGATACTACAGCAGGAATAATGTCACGATGCTACTGAGGAATAATGTCATGATGCTACTGCAGGAATAATGTCATGATGCTACTGCAGGAATAATGTCATGATTCTACAGCAGGAATAATGTCATGGACTAGTGCTACTGCAGGAATGAAATCATGTCATGACAATATGCTTCAGCAGGAATGATGTCATGATGTTACAGAAGGTATAATGTCATGTTGCTACTGCAGGAATAATGTCATTATGCTACTGCAGGAATAATGTCATTATGCTACAGCAGGAATAATGTCATGATGCTACTGCAGGAATAATGTCATGGACAAGTGCTACTGCAGGAATGAAATCATGTCATGACAATATGCTTCAGCAGGAATAATGTCATGATGTTACAGATGGTATAATGTCATGTTGCTACAGCAGGAATGATGTTACAGCAGGAATATTGTCATGATGCTACTGCTGGAATAATGTCATGATGCTACTGCAGGAATAATGTCATGATGCTACTGCAGGAATAATGTCATGATTCTACAGCAGGAATAATGTCATGGACTAGTGCTACTGCAGGAATGAAATCATGTCATGACAATATGCTTCAGCAGGAATGATGTCATGATGTTACAGATGGTATAATGTCATGTTGCTCCAGCAGGAATGATGTTACAGCAGGAATATTGTCATGATGCTACTGCTGGAATAATGTCATGATGCTACTGCAGGAATAATGTCATGATGCTACTGCTGGAATAATGTCACGATTTTGACAAGGCTGGTTGTATTCATTCATTTGATAATGTCACTTTAGATGTCCATCAGGTTAAACAATCACCTTATCACTAATATTACATGATACACCATCTGAAGTTTTGGTCGACATGTACAAACTTCTCTATTGTAAATCTTTTTTTCCGATGTTCTGTCAACAAAATTTTATTTTTCAGATTGTGAAGCAAAGGACTTGACTTCTGCTATATCAAAATGCATGAGCTGTGACAAGGACAGTAGTGGTTTGATCAGAGGGTTACAAAATCTATGGACATCCCACACAAACCCAAACCCAGTGATACCATGTCTCTCTGTCAGAAGTGGCTTTGACCTTTTCCTCAAGGTCATGAAGTTTCCACCACGATCAGAGATCATAATGTCTGCTATCAACATTCCATCAATGCCTTATATTGTACAAGATCATGGACTCAAAGTAGTGCCCCTAGATGTAAACATCGAAGATGTTGCTCCCAAACCTGATAAGATGGAAGATCTACTGACAGACAAAACTGTGGCCATTTTGGTGTCGCACTTATATGGCAAGATGTTTGACATGGAACCAACAATACAGTTTGCAAAGAAACATAAACTCTTTGTGATAGAAGATTGTGCCGAAGCATTTTGTGGCTTCAGTCATATTGGTCACCCTGATAGTGACATCTCGCTTTTCAGTTTTAGCGTCATCAAGCACTATACCTCATTCGGAGGGGCCATAGCTAAAGTAAGAGATCAGGATGTTTTTCAGAAAATGTTAGACCTCCATAACTCCTATCCAGCTCAAACAAATGGAGAGTATCTCAAGAAGGTTCTCAAGTATTCCTTGGTTTATATAGTTCTCAACTGTCCAAGTTTAATCAAACCTCTTGTTTACACATCTCGTAGCCTGGGAATAGACCACCAGAAGAAGGTGATCAAGATGCTGAGAGGGTTCCCACAGGATATGATGGCCAAGATACGACACCGCCCCTCTACAGCATTGTTGGACATGATGCTGGAGAGACAGTCTAACTTCTCCATGGCCGAGTTCTGTACAAGACGCCTCAAGGGGGAGTATGTGCATCACCGTCTGCCTGCAGACATTGAGGTTGTTGGGGCAGGACTTGAACACAACAACTACTGGCTGTTTCCCATACTTGTGGTAGGTGTGAAAGTTTGGAACAAAAGTCAAACAGGATCCTTCGCTACCAAAACAAAAGACAAAAAGAATTTGTTTTTCGGTTTTGCATGTGTTTATTTTTGTTGTTGTTTTGTCTCGTAAAGAGATTGACATTGGAAGCTTACCTCAGATAGGCTTATGACTTTGATAACAATGAATCTAAACCTTTAAGATAGTTCTTTCAGACAAGATTAGTGATAGTAGCCATAAAGCATATAATTATGTTGTAATTTCAGGACAATCCTGACAATTTTGTGAAACAACTCAATTCGTTTGGTGTTGATGCCTACCGTGGTGCAACACAACTCAACATCATTGAACCTGAAAACGGCAACTCTACAATGCATCCTGCTGCATCCATGAACCAACGCTACCCTCACGAGGCTAAGTATCTCATTGACCATGTTGTGTACTTGCCAGTCAACAAAACTGTGCCTTTCCATGAACTGGACCAGTTGATCAAAACCATCAAGATGGCTGTCAAGTTAAACAAGGCACAAACTGATTCTCACCAGGTCAAACTGGCTTCTAAGTTATAAGCTGTGATTACAGTATGTAAATGGATGTCAGTTTATATTGGGGTTTGATTTTTGTGTGTTTGAAACTTTGGAGAAATGCTGAGCATATGTGTATACTGAGCAAACATTGTGATATATGAATTGTCCGTGAATACACATTGAATTGCAGAAGTTGGTCACAAGTAAAAAAAAAGATATCCTTGGGATTACACTTTCTTTGTGTTTGGTTATAATCTGTTACCTCATGTAGATAAACATGTAAAGAGGACTTTGGGAGAGCTTCCCTGGAAGCACATCATGAGATTAAATCTCAGTATCCAATCATTTTGGGTCAATTCAATAACCGCTGAAAATCCTGAGTGTTAAGTGAATCAGATTAACCACACAGAAAATATAAATTACTGACATATCTTAAATATTTTATGATTTAAGTAATATATAATTGTCATTACTGGAACCATTATGGTAAAAGTATGATAATAGTTCTAAAAGTAATTCTAAAACAAGCTGCAAGCTGCTTCTGAGTGTTTGTTTAAACATTCTAAACAGCATCTGAGCATAATGATGTTGGAGCAGATGTTGTCAAGTGAGCAGTAAGATACACTTATGCATAACAAATATATATATATATAAACTGATCATTGGTGAATAGGTTTTGTATCGTGTTATTAGTTTTGCACATTACATTTACAAGATTGTGTGCACCATTTGCTATTGCATTATTATCAGAGTATGTGTACTGACCAATACACCCACGATCAAACCAAAACTGAAAAAAGGATGGTAATGATACATTGGAAACCTTAGACCTGTGATACATTTAGCTACAAAATGTGTTGATATAATATCTGACAGCTGTTCAAGAGGTTTACTCCCATTAGTTAGACATCCCAGTTGCAGGGGTGGAGATAACCCATTGCCCGACGTCCAAGTCCAGTGTTTTTTTCTGTCCGGCAAGCAAATTCGTATATCACACTGTACCGGCATCCAGTTGACTTTCCAATGTTAATTATGTTGTTTATTTAAAAAATTCAACAAGAAAACGGCCGGTATAGTGGACAAATTTTCAGGGCAAGTGATTTCACATGTGCCACTGTACCGGAGTACACTAGCAATTTTAAAGTTATTTCCACCCCTGAGTTGTCAGACATGCCAATTATCAGACAAAACTACATTACAACCTAGTCTTACCCACTGACATAATAAACCTATCCCATAGACTAACGAGCTGTTTTTACATTCGTGGCTAGTGGTTTATTTTAACACTAGTTATGATATTGTTACTTTTTGTACAGAAATACTTTGATCACAATACTAATTTTAATTGACTTACTCAATCACCAGCTTCTCCCAGTTTGTTTTCATAATGTTCACTTTGATCAAAACAGTATTATGACTTCTCTCAGTTTATGTTCATGATCTTCACTTTGATCATGACTATGGGGACCGATTTCCTCTACACCTACGCCCTATGATTTTGTTAGAATAGTATCTAGTAGTGTTTTTCTTCTTATGGATAATATTCCTCCAGAGGGATCATCATTTTTGAGTAAATGCAAATGCGACCCTTTTGAATATATTCTAAGAGAAATAACACAATAATCGTATTTTGGTCAGTTAATGATAGGTGGTGACTTTAATGCCCGTATAAGATGTAAAGATGAATGTGTAGATAGTAGTAACCTTGTTCATTTACCTGATCTTTCTACAGCCTCCAGTGTTCAAATGCCAAGACAAAAGTAGGGACACAAAGATAAATCCAGAAGATTTAGTTCACAGAGGTAGCCAAACCCATAGTATGCTGAATAAGATCATTTTTTTGTACTACTAAACATCCTTGTTAAATTATCTTAATTTGTTGTATATATGCTGAATAAAGTCATTATCCATCAATTTGGATCAGTCCATTACTTAATAAAGGTAACCATGCAGTGTACCCAGAGTCCAACCAACCATAACTTTTGTTGTTTTAACGTGTCTGACAAATGGGACGTCTAACTTATAGGAGGACACCGTTCAGGAGAGGGAGAATGAATACTCAGCAGCAGTGACATTTAATGACTTGTACATAGATGGAGTCCCTGTGAGGAGCTTCTGTATTTAACTCTCAACATTTCATCCAATAACTTAGAGGGCTGACTGTAAACACTTTTAAGCTACTTGTTAGACATTCAGCTTAATGATCATGCATTTCAACTTGTATCATGTTAATAATGTACTTTGAAGAAATAGGTTTGGATAATGTCCACAGGTTTATCTAGACTCTATCAAAAGCCAACACTTTGACCCCAAATCTGTAGCAAATGTCAGCAAAACTTCCAAAATTGTAATTAAAGATTTTCAATTCATGTTAATATCCTGCAAGTTTTGACTGCATAATGTGATGACCAAGACAAGCTGGTTGGTCCAATGCAGGGATGGGTGAGTGAGAGATGGCAGCATTGTCCTAGCTGTTCCTCGTCAGGTGTGAGCCAGGCTGACAATAATTTATATAGACCAACACAGCACACCATCAGAATACACTGTCATGGCCACGTCACAGACCATGAAAAACAGATTCCTTACTTTGTCAGCATTTACATTAGCAATACAGCTTGGAAAACCTCTTCCCTGGAATCTCCACTGGAAACTGACGAAAAAAATAATAAATAATAATAATCCTTCATATAGTTGATTATTCATTCCCAGAGTATGTTGACTGTATAAAACATCTGGACATCAAGACTGAAGGAATTGTTGCAGTCTCCTTGTGTATGATTGACTGAGCTAATATCTCATTTTTATTTCTAGAAAGTCCTACACTGGATTTTGATGTTAGGATATTAAGATTACTGAAATTGGAAATCATGTAGTGAATGATTCAGTCAAAGAGGAGTCATAATCTTTTTCATAATTTATCCAGAAATATTGGTGTATACAGCCTAGAGAAATACCTTTGAACCAGTGCACAGTGTACTGAGGGTTGTATGGATTTGTTATGTTTCATGAGAGGTGTTTATTGATCTGTATACATGGTCTTATGAACAGTTATGTTTTTGGTTGTTATTTAAATATTCATGTTTGAACCTGTGCCATATGTAGTGTACTGTGTGTTTCCCTGTGCTGATCACTTGAATCATTCACAAACAGCTTTTGGCCCTTTACATCTAAATAATTTCAATTACCCCATTAAGTGCCCCTTCGGGACAAGCCTTTGAAGATGCACCATGCTAAGCTTAAATATTTATAGACAGTCTGTATTTAGTTATGTACATAAAATATTTTGCTGAAAACTCACAAGTAAAAGGAGTATATAATTGCCTGGTAATTATTATCAAATTCGTCTTCGTTCCCTCAACATTTGGACTAAAAGTTTGCTTTTACCTGCTCAATCACTGACAATAAACTTGTTGTGTATGGTTTTAATATGTTCTTTCTCTCTTTCATCAGTTTTCCAAGTGCCCAGGGTTTGTACAAGAGTGAATATGGTTATTAAACATTACAATTGCAATCCCTGTATTACCTCCAAGAGCCCAATTCGGAGTTGATCAACAACTATACTTGAATTGGTTCATTCATTTTCTGACATCTAAGAATGCAGAATGAATTACATGAATCATGTGGATGGTGTTTTGTAAGGAGTATTGAAAGTGTCAGGCATTTAGGAGCTCAGTTTGACTGAATATATATGTGGATGAGATCTGTTGCCTTGTTTATATCGGTGTCTAAGGTGCTTTTTGCATCAGTTTGGACAAATATGTATCTGTATCATTGAGAAACATAAAGTGTGTCTGCATATTAGCTATGGTCATGTTGTGTTGGTGTGACCATGTGTGTGCATTAAGGCATAAACTAGAGAGTTGTCACATCACGTCACATGCTCAAATTTATCAACCTTGAATGGTGTGCATAATAACAGCTGTTGCCTAACAGAGTATCACATCATGTAAATATGTCAACTTAAGTTGAAGTTGCCAGTTAACCAAGCTCAAGCCGATCAATATTTAGTTATTTTGTGGTTTCTATGGTTTATCACTGCTGCAAGTATAAAGCTGTCAGCCATGGTCAAAGGTACTTAAGTTTGCCTGTGTTGTGTGTAACCACTCACTGCACACAACATGTATACAACACCTTACACTCACTGCAAACACCATGTATACAACACCTTACACACCATGTATACAACACCTTGCACTCACTGCACACCCCATGTATACAACACCTTGCACTCACTGCACATACCACGTATACAACACCTTACACTCACTGCACACATCATGTATACAACACCTTGCACTCACTGCATACACCACCTTACACTCACTGCACACACCATGTATACAACACCTTGCACTCACTGCATACACCATGTATACACCACCTACACTCACTGCACACACCATGTATACAACACCTTACACTCACTACACACTATGTATACAACACCTTACACTCACTGCATACACCTAACTCACTGCATACACCATGTATACAACACCTTACACTCACTGCACACACCATGTATACAACACCTTACACTCACTGCACACACCATGTATACAACACCTTGCACTCACTGTACACACCATGTATACAACACCTTACACTCAGCACACATCATGTATACAACACCTTACACTCACTGCACACACCATGTATACAACACCTTGCACTCACGGCACACACCACATATACAACACCTTACACTCACTGCACACACCATGTATACAACACCTTGCACTCACTGTACACACCATGTATACAACACCTTACACTCACTGCATACACCATACACCATTTCTTGTTACCCTGGCAGTCATTTCATTGGTCAAAGTTTGCAAAAGGCTAATCTGATGTAATCTGTAATGGGATGGGATCTTTGTTTAGAACAAGAACTGTGATCTGTTTTTAATAAGATATATATGAGAGTGTTGATTGACTGGATTTCTTGACAGGAAATCCATTGTGGAATTGCTCATCTGTTAATGCAGTTCACTCTCAGAGCAAAATATCCTAGCGACTCTGAAGTAAAGTACTATATGCGTTTGTGGGGAATGTTATGGAATTTTCGTTAAACCTTTCAGGTGATTTTTATGAATCATATCAGATGTCCCTTCAATTGTTGTATTGTAACTTACATCTGCTTAAGTGCCTTGTTATACAACTACTGCTTTGTATTCATAACGCCTTGTTAAGAAACAGAAATTTGTTCAAAATGAAAATATTCTTCCGTGATGGCCAGTACAGCTAGGGCATGACTTGGCTGTTACCTGGCAGAACTAACTGAAGATGCTTGTAGCGCTACGCAGAGTTTCGTGTGACAAACCTGGATATACTGTACAGAGAGGACTGGCCACACACTGATATACCTCATTCTCAGTGTTGTGCAAGGTGTAGGATAACAACAGGAAATGTTGAGTTTGTTCTGTTGTTTGCAACAAGTTGCATGTACAAGAGGTGTGCACAGTTCCTCTACTGCTGACAGGCTGGTTAAAGTATCCCACTTTCTCATCCATTACTGAACATATTTGACTTCATATTTGCAAACAATACACATTTCTACGCAAAACAATTTTATGTTTTACTCTTTGTGTTTTTATGTCTCAATAAATGGTATTTTTACACTTTTAAATGGATTTACTGTTGTTTCTATGATGCTTCGATAAAGATCAAAAGCGCCAACAGTATCATATCAGGCAATAAAGTACACTTTTTGCATTATGTCACTATGTCATTCTAGTCTGCCTCCTGGTAAACCTACCCATGGTAATCAACGTCACGATGCATGTCAGTTCTCATGACCTCGTACAGTCCACTACAGTACAACTAACTCCTAAGTACTATTAAAACTAACCTTTCTTGGTTTGCAGTTGCTTCAGTCAGCTCACAACACTGTTGGAAACATTATGTAAGTGCTTTAACTTTATAATAGTTCAGGGCAAACCTGTACTTCATTACACTATACATGGGGGCTCGACATTCATGCTATCACACTGGCCCGGGTTTAGTAAAATGTTGACAAGACCAGTGCAACTTTGATAAGTGCTATCCCGACGGTCTAGTAGATATATATTTAAGGCTGTCAGTATCATTGTACAGGTTTTGAACTTTCAAACAAAACCTAAATGAATGAATAAAAAGAACGAGTCAACACGACAACGTGTGAATGTATAAAGTTCTACAAAGCAAGTGCGAATTTGAATTTGACATTAAGAGTGCAGGATCAGTAAGAATCTGTAAGGACCAGTGATTTTTAAAAGTTACTGGTCCTGTGGTCTTGTTCGGGAATTTGGGTGACTGTCAAGCCCTGTGGGGTAGAGTGAATTTTATTTCTGAATTATATGGGCAGACTGATATAGTTGCATATGTAAGAATGGTCTGGTTGAGCAGATATCAGGACGGTTGGTCTGACCTAAAACAGTATCGTTCAACAGCCACTAGAATCTTTCGGAATGAACCTAGCATACCATCCTTCGTACATGAACATGGTTCGCCTTAACTAGTAGGTCAACAGCTTGAAGGCTAGACCATGAGAAAGCTTGAATTTGAAACCCATGGTCCCGAAAATATGCTCTTCAATGATGGTGAAAAAGTCTGGACTACATGACTTAAATAGTTTATTTATACATGCATACATTCACACAGAGTAATGGTGACGAACACACGACTACAACATGATTTCTACAGATCTTGTTTGATGTGTCAGTCTAGGAGAACTGCTGCAATGCTGTCTTCACTCTGAAAACAACAACACCATGCATTAGTTCAGCCATGTCAGTAGGCCAGGTGAGTTACAGAAGAAATCTGAGAAAACTATTGCTACAAGTGAAATGATCATCCTACAAGTTGGCCTTGCGCCTTGTGTCAACTTACTTGTCAAATAGCGTGGAGTCTTGTGTACCCAGCAGCTGCTGCAGGAGCTTCTGAACACCCATGTCCCGGAGTCTGGTCTGTCGATTGTATGCACCTAAACAGCAGGAACATCTCATACATTCATCAACTAACAGCTTGGAAAAAGACTAGAATAAATCTACTCCTGTTTTAGAAAAGTTTACAAAGAAACCATAAATAAGGCTATATTTTGCTTTAAGAAGTGTCTGAGAGGAAGTACTATGCCTACCCTCCTCCTCATTGCAGACCAGGTTGGAAATGCAGAATGTAGCAGCAATTTGTAGCTTGACATTGCTGTGGACCTGTGTGGAACATAAATATAAACTTTATGTAACTCAACGTTATGTAACTATGGATGGGGACAGTGGCACCTACATGATACGGGAATTGCCTCCCTTTACAATCACTACACCATAGATGGGGACAGTATTAGTACTATCTAGACAACCCAGGAGAGGCCTCCCTATACAATCACTACACCATGGATGGGACAGTATATGTACTATCTAGACAACCCAGGAGAGGCCTCCCTATACAATCACTACACCATGGATGGGACAGTATTACTACATCTGGACACAACCCGGGAGAGGCCTCCCTATACAATCACTACACCATGGATGGGACAGTATTAGTACATCTGGACACAACCAGGAGAGGCCTCCCTATACAATCACTACACCATGGATGGATGGGACAGTATTGGTACATCTGGACACAACCCAGGAGAGGCCTCCCTATACAATCACTACACCATGGATGGGACAGTATTAGTACATCTGGACACAACCCAGGAGAGGCCTCCCTATACAATCACTACACCATGGATGGGACAGTATTGGTGCAATCTACACAATATAGGAGTTGCCTCCCTTAACAATCACTACACCATGGATGGGACAGTATTACTAAATCTGGACACAACCCAGGAGAGGCCTCCCTATACAATCACTACACCATGGATGGGACAGTATTAGTACATCTGGACACAACCCAGGAGAGGCCTCCCTATACAATCACTACACCATGGATGGGACAGTATTGGTACATCTGGACACAACCCAGGAGAGGCCTCCCTATACAATCACTACACCATGGATGGGACAGTATTAGTACATCTGGACACAACCCAGGAGAGGCCTCCCTATACAATCACTACACCATGGATGGGACAGTATTAGTACATCTGGACACAACCCAGGAGAGGCCTCCCTATACAATCACTACACCATAGATGGGACAGTATTGGTGCAATCTACACGATATAGGAGTTGCCTCCCTTAACAATCACTACACCATGGATGGGACATTATTACTAAATCTGGACACAACCCAGGAGAGGCCTCCCTATACAATCACTACACCATGGATGGGACAGTATTAGTACATCTGGACACAACCCAGGAGAGGCCTCCCTATACAATCACTACACCATAGATGGGACAGTATTGGTGCAATCTACACGATATAGGAGTTGCCTCCCTTAACAATCACAACACCATGGATGGGGACGGTATTAAGTTAGTCATAAATCTGTGATATTATATTATGACTTGTGTCAGACAATCCACCAGAAAATGGAGCATTGTTAGTGTCATCTAGAAACTTTCTGCAAGAGGACTCCCTGTACAAACACCTAATCCTAGACAGGATCATGAACATTTATAGTGCATTCTGGGAGCAGCACAGAAGAAGACTCACGTTATCATCAAAAGTGAAATTTGCTGGACACCTTCCCCCAACAAGTCTGCGGGGGACAAATTCAACAGGGAAGACGTTATGGCTGACACTTCATACAAGGCATACCACTCACCATGTAAGACATGAGCTTCTTCAAAACATCTTCATTAGCCATGATGACATCCTTGGCACTATCTCCATCTGCGATGTTTGCCAGGATACAAAGAGTCTGGAAATATGTAAGTTAAAGTGCATAATCCACATAATAATAAAATCTAATTGGTGCTGCTAAAATAATATCTTCAATTAGTTTAAAGCTTTGTGATGAATGAACTCTTAGAAAGCTTCTATAGGACAAGCAATAGTGATCTGTGATTATTCTCCAATATGGGAAAATAAACTGTATTCATACACAGTCTGCATGGATATTTGCATGTCTGCATGTGCAGTGAAGCTAAGGAATGGCTGGTGGTGTATACACTGAGACCTAACACACTCCTGTATTTGTCCCGACTCCATGAAGACAAGCTGCACTTGAGTGCAGAGATGCCAACCCTGAATCTAATGAAAGTGGCGTCATGCCTGCCTGGAAGCCAGGCCCAAGTTGGGGAGTGAGCTCCGCCATTTTGTTTTACTTACATATGTGCTATGACATTCATTCGAAAGAACTTTGTTGTCAATAACACACAATATACACAATCGAGATAAAAGATCACACACTAAGCTTCCGAGTGCTTTTACCGGTCTCAAGTCAAATAAATCATCGGTAATTCACAATATTGTATACGTAGAAATATAATTCAGAATTTTTTCTAACAAATCTGAGGTTTTTAAAGACAAATCTGAAAGTGGATGTTGTATTTGAAAATCAGAGTAACTCCGCCAAAATCAGAGTGGTTGGCATCTCTGAGAGACTCTGAGTGTATTAGAGGGATCACATGCTTGACAACAAAGAGTGAACTAGCAAACTAACAAACCTGCTCCTTGACATCCACAGAGTGGTCTCCCTCCAGAATAAAGACAACGGCCTGCATCACCTGTTTTCCATACACGTTCATGATACTGTCGATGTGCTGAAATTTGGTCAATGTCTGTAAACATTTGAGTGAGATTATTTTGATATACTTGCATGAGTATGGCATCATCAAACACAGTCAACAAATTATATTCTAATGGACTAACTACAGGACAAGATGAAATGCTGTTGATGACCAATATGAGTGCTTGTTTTACTGCAGTTCACACTGTGGGTAGATTGGGTATGATTTAGGATAAGGAGTTCTTTATCACAAACATCAATTGCGGATTGGTAAATAAATGTTTTAAGCTTGTGCTTCACAATGCTACTCAATCTTGTAGATATTGCTCAAAGACTGCCCATATTTTGAAGCCGCAAACTGACATTAACAGGAGCTCATTCAATTTTGAATACATCAACAAGCATCAAACATGGGAAAAGAACAACCTTTTGTTACCCTCATTCATTGTTTTATACATAAGTGATTGTTGTTTCAATATTCAATGTTAACATTTGAATAATCTATTGTATATAAATATCTAAGTCATGGAAACGATTATTTCCTTAACTACATACTACAGGTGGCCAAAGCTGCACTGAGATGCCAGAGTTTAATCAAAATCTAGTTTCCATTATCAATTTTACACCACTGATCAGAAGAGAAAGATGGAGGAGAGAGTGAAAGAGTTTCACCTTCATGCAAATTCAAAGAAACTAGATTAAACCAAAATGGCATAAAACCCACTGAAACAGTTCCAACATGCTGTCCAAGAGAAGAAGGAAGGAAGCCCAGAGCCCAATACAAATCACAGAGTAGACGTCACAAAAAACTTTAACCTACTTGGCACTTCGGAAATTTCAAACCTACTGGTTTGTTTGACAGGAGATTCCTCAAAAGACCCAAAGTTTTCATTAAAATGTTGGGATTCTGGTCTGACAGAAGACAAAACAGCTGATCTGACCCCAGTGTCTCAACAATCTGAGTCTTCACTTTCTGGTCTGCTTGAAAGGCCATGTTCTGAAATATAACAACAGAATAAATGACAGTATTGTACACTGTACTCATTCATGTCAGACAGATAAGGACAACAAAGCACACAAACATGATGTTTTCATCATACAGTAACTGTCCACTGACATATGAAGTATGGTGGTATTTGTTTAATCATATATGATGCATGCCATCATACAAAAACTGATTTTCTTCCTCTATGAGTATGTAGAGGCAATTCACTCAACCACTCAATGTTAACTTGGAATTCTGAGAAATTTACCGTGGGAATTGACAACATTTGTGCTGAGACTTAAAAAAACACCCAAAACTATACTGAGAGAAACAAATAAAGGTATCACATGAAAATCCAAGAGTTCCTGTAATATTGTCCAGTTTTCATCACCAGCTTTGAATAGTGCTGTGGTGATGAAAACTGGAAAATATTACAGGAACTCTTGGATTTTCATGTGATCCTCTATTTGTTTCTCTCAGGCTATGTTGTCTTTTGCACACACAGGAAAGAAGCGAGAGTGTTGGGAAGGTAGCTGCTAATAGTGTGTTAGCTAGTATGGAAAGCTGACATATGTAGAGGACACTTATAGTAGGACTTATTACAGTGACATTACACTGGCATGTGACTACTGGGTGAACCATACACTAGTGTATCTAGTACCAAACATGTAGAATACTTTCACTGTGTCCTTCACTCGGAACATTAGCAGATTACATGGAAACATAGGTACACAATTGAAGGTGTGATGCTCACCATCAACCCCCACACCCCATTCAGTCTCAGTGGGGCTTCATTACGACTAGCAAGACTGGCTAGGATGTTGATAGCTCCACACTCAAGAATAGGCTGAAAAATAATAATTGAATAATACTTGAAATGAAATATAATACTTGGACGTCTGTCATTGCATGCCCCTCTTGGACTAGGGATGGCCCTTCCCAAGTTCTGTTGCCCTGCCCCTTTTGGATCCTGGGGGGGAACACTACATTAATCCTTAACTCAGCAGGATCTACAAGTGACCTATTCATCTACTCTAGAAAAAAAACAAAACCCTGCAACCGTTTATCATATTGTGAGAATGATAATTAGTATAAGTAGATCTAACAGTCAATTTGGGCTGCACATGGGTATGAGGTTACAACAATAGTTATGTTCATTTCTGCAAACAGCTGTCCTGAATGTTCTATAATCTACACAGTATGTATTGCAGAGGCAATTTAAGGGAGCTGAAATGGAAAGAATTAAGTTAAGTTATTCATGAAGGTCATTCTTAAAGGCTCAAAGAGCACAGTTATTTCACTTAACTTCAACATAAAATAAAAATTAAAATCTTGTTGATATCAATGATTGTATTCTTTGTATGGAAATCTTTTGAAGAACACACTGAAAGAGTTTAGTCACATTCCTCTGTTCTTCTTGCCTAGGGGAAACACTAAGAAGGGTACGGTTCCTTAGACATGGCAGGGTGCTGCTCCTGCTAAAATGCACTAAGAAGGGTATGGTTCCTTAGACATGGCAGGGTGCTGCCCCTGCTAAAATGCCTAGGGGAAACACTAAAACACATGGCAAGAAGGTAAGACGGGACATGGCAGGGTGCTGCTAGGAGAAACACTAAGAAGGGTAGACATGGCAGGGTGCTGCGCCCTGCTAAAATGCCTAGGGGAAACACTAAGAAGCAGACATGGCAGGGTGCTGCTCCCTGCTAAAATGCCTAGGAGAAACACTAAGAAGGGTTCCCCTGAAACACTAAGGCAGGGGCAGGGTGCTGCGCCCTCCTGCTAAAATGCCTAGGGGAAACACTAAGAAGGGTACGGTTCCTTAGAAATGGCAGGGTGCTGCGCCCTCCTGAAATGCCTAGGAGAAACACTATTATGTATTTCTCCTCATGAAGCAGCAGCATCATACCTCCTTGCTCGGGGAGAACTCCAGCAGCAGGTTGCACAGCGTCGATGAGGCGATGGCCACAGCTTCCTCATTGCCACTCTGCATCATCTACAACATTCCGCACACACACCTTAGATACTTCAACAACTGCAGAGCTAAACTCAGTTTTCAACAATTTCATTATGAACACAGACATAACGATTTCACAATCTTTATAATTCATGAGTTTAGAAATGCCACCATGACAAAGATATTACACAAGGCTAGAGAAGCTTGTCCAGGCCCACATGTTCCCACCTTGAGTAAGGGCTTCCACACTGCATGGTCCTGGAATGTCGTGCGGAGCTGTTGTACCGAGCGTGACAGACTGTGGAGACATCTGGTGGCAGCAATCTGAACCTTCATGTTAGTGCTGTTGATGGCGACTACAATGTGGTCCATCAGATTCTCAGTGGCAATCACCTAGCAGAAGTGAATATGGCTAGCTTGAATAGCAGATAGAATAGAAATAAGACAACAGAAGATAATTTGTGTCAAAAGCTTTATGCCCCTATGATATTAGTTCTTTGACAATTGATATTTGAGATTTCACGGTAAGATATGTAAATACATTAATAAACACATGTTGACATTTGACTACCTTCTTGCGGATGTCCTCATCATTGGCACCGAGAGAGGCAAAGGCTTTGAAAGCAGCCTGCCTCATTTCATTTCCCCAGTCAATGTCCTGAAAATGAATATTTGTGATATATATATATGTATGTTTCCTTACACAACATATAGCAATTTCCCCTTTCACTTTGATCATATCACACAGAACCTAAATTGTGGATCAACATATTGCCACACTTAACCCACAGTTGGAAACAAGGTCTGCAGCTGATTCCAGCATGCGAGTGGAAAGAACAGACCCTTCAATTGCTTCCTGGCAGTCCTTCCAGGTACTGAGTAAACTGAACATGATGGCAAGTCCAGCAGTGTGATGGTCATTCCCCTAGGGCTGCCATAACAAATGCTGTGCAGGTCTACTCATTGTTCCAAGTCCCGGGTCCGAAGTGCTCCTTCCAAACTTCAAATCTGAGAGAGTGAGTTTGCTTTAATACCGCTTTGTATAGCGTCCCATTATATCCCTGAATGTAAGTTTAACGTGGAAGGAAAGGTCAAAATAATCCAGGTCAAATAGGCCCCCTCAGCTGAAGCTCCACAACACAACTGATATCTGTCTAGCAGCTGAGACTTTGCTGACCGCTGCCATGTGAGTCCCTATTTTCCACTCTATAACATACTGGCTTTCTAAACAGCAAGTGGTAGGAGTGGTCATCAACAGGTCATTGAAACCTCGGTCAATGTCAGTTTCATCACTCATACACAAGCTGTGACATTTGTGAAACACTAACCATGGGTTTAAGAGGGTGAAGATGTCTAGCAAGGACTGGAAACAGCGCCAAATAGCTGTGTACTTGTCATGTTGATAACTCCATGTGATAATGTAGTCCAAGTAGAAGGCATTGTGATCATGGAGTTTGTGTAATGGGGTATTACTGTTTCCTGCTACCTCTCAAGCTCAACACTTGCTATAGCTTCTACAAACGCCATACACAGACCTGCTCTAAACATACATTCTATTATACTGCAAATGAAGAGTCTAAGCTGCAGAGGATACCTACTAGACTTGCCTAAGTGACAAAAAAATCACATGGCTTCAGTGAAAAGAGGTGAGGTGAAATGGGGTTTAACGCTGTACTTAAGAATATTTCACGCATATGACGACGTGCATGCGTGTGTATGTAGCAGTGTTTGTAATTAGTATATTGTTAGATTTTAAGGCATCATCATAGTAAACTTACATGAAGGAAATTGATGTCCTAAACCTAAATATTTAATAACCTAAATATAAATATTTAACATTTATTTTCCTTAAATAATGGTGTTAACTTCAGCACTTGCACAAATCATAAACTCATAGGTAAGCTTGGATAGTTTCGCCTTTTCATTGTATACAGGTTCATGGCTATTGTCACTGGGTCAGTAACAGGCTTGGCCTGGGATTAGGGTCTTATTGTTCTCTGGGTGCACATGATCATTTCACTCATGTAGATACACTGGTCTAAACTTTTGCTGGTCAGTCAGCATATGTCTTCTTCCTGCTGTCAACACATTCTCTGCACTAGAACATATAGGGTAACTTCATTGGATTATTACTTATCTGGAATCTTAGGTTTGGTTGCTATGTATTACAAGCATTGTTATATATATATAGCATATTTATTGTGCAGGGCTTATCACAGTACATCTGTGAGGCATTCCAACCTGCGTCCCTGAGATGAGGTAATATATTTAGGTTTATTTGTATGTGCATGATCTCTATATAAACATGATCAAGTGTAATAGGTTTTATCTAAGGGGATTGTTAAAGTATATATAGAAATGAACTGTAAATTGTAAAAGTATTATAAGTAATATCATTAAGTAAATCTACGTACTGCCTATACCCATGTGGTTTATGACTGAATTATGTATGTTCTAGGGCAGATCTGGACAACCTTGTAGTACTCCATTCGATTAAATCCCTCGAACCCTACAAGTACTCCCTTGTTTTTGAGAGGACCTGCATACCGCTGCTACATGTATATGTGGCTGCATGTACCATGTGTACCAGCCCAGGCTTAAGCTGGTTTTATAGTGCTTGCTCACTGAGATACCATGCCACAGTTTAGCATGAATACCCAACTCGGGACACATTATATACTGACTCTGAGTCAACCAGTCCTTGTACCCATTAATGCCGAGCACCAGGCATGGACCAACAAGTACCATATTTTAACGTCTTTTGGTATGACGTGGCTGGGGATTGAAGCCACGATCTAACGCTCTCTGGGCGGACGCTCTGACCACTACACCACGGAGGCGGTCTTCAGTGACAAGAAGAGGAGTACACGGATCATCCTGGATACTTGTGACAACCTCCAAATAGCTAAAGATGTATTAGCTATCTTTAAACGTATAACAAATATTTATAAGCAAGTATATACCTCGAACAGGGAATAAAAGTAGTCATTACCCATGACAGCTGTGACGAAACAACACAATAAACAAACATTTTAGCGGGAAAATAATATTTATCCTATCTCATGTCTTTTACTCTCTCTCTCATGATTGACAGCAGACTGTAAATTTAGTTTTTGGCCTCTATTGTACCATTCACTTCAACACCCCTCCTGCTCCCATTTCTGGACAGCCTGGTAGCCTCTGTGGAGCATGCCCTCCGGTTGATAAAGTGACTCTTTGTCTAGTCATTCTTTTCTTGTATTATTAATATACAATTTATAGTTCAAATTTTCAAATTTTTAAACTTCTTCTATCTCACATCTTGTACTTATCCCGTGGTTGGATGGTGGGCTGCAGATTACCCAATGTCTGTAGAGGATACAACTGCGGTGATGTGATCGCAATGCACAAGGAGGCCTGTTATGCAGTCAATCGGGAAATTGTGCCTATAACTCCTGTTCTTGTGATGGGTTGCTTCTTCAAAACCCCTTGGCGTTACACAGCACAAAAACTTCCAGGGAGAGGGCGCTCCCGAGTAAATGTGGTTTTCCGCCTTACATTTGTCACCCGACAAATGCAGCACTAAGCAAGTGACTTGCCTCACCCTGATTTCCAGAAAGCCCCAGTAAATTAAAGCCTTGCGACTCTAATCTGACCAGCCCCTGCTTTGAAACCATACCCACAGTAACCATGCAGATGAAAGGGAAACCAATTTGGTTAATGTAGGAGTATGTAATTATGTATATATAAGCAAGTGTATTTTAATTAACCACTCAATCTAACCCGCTTCACTTTCACAATAGCACGGTCACCCTTGCGCTTACGTTGTCTATTGTCTTTATTGTCTTGCCCCAGCCCCAGGCCCCTTAGTTTCAATAGCAGGGTGTTTTGTGGGTCAGCTATCATTTTCACTTCAGTCTGTCTGGTCACTGGTCATAGCTCACAACAGCTTATAACAGGTTAGTTTATATTTGGATTGTATATTTATGTCTTCATGTTTAGTGTGTATGTATTATTTCTTAGCTTCCTTTAAAGCATGTATCATGTTATGTGTGGTAAATATAAACCAAATTAACTATTTGTAATATGTAGCATAACTAGGTGTTAGCAATACTTAGCAATACTTTGTATGCAAGTATTTATTGCTGGTAATCCTAAATACCATTTCCCACGAGGATGTTACCTAACTTATAAATTATTGTGTAGGTAAACATAATGTGTACATCTACTTCTATAAACTAATGCACCTAACTTTGCATGTATGAATGAATGTATGTGTGATGAGATGAGTTATTAGAACAGATATTTTATGTACAGTAGCGTGATAATGTACAGATGTAGAACGTTACATAATATTGATTATGGATATGTTTATGTTCAGGTGTGGCAAATATATTTCCTGATGTTTGTGACGTCAAAGGGGCACAGTGCCATACACTCGGTGAGGGTTCTTTCTTATTATATTGTAAATAATTATGTTCTGTATTTGTATGATGCTACACGTGTATGTTGAAATATAAACATTATATACATATATACACACATGTCTGCTCTGTGACCTGGTTAATCATTAATGATTGTATTGCTTATATATGATCGTAGTACCTATTGCTAAGCCTCACATGTATTGGCCCATGAAGTATTGTAGCGTATTTTGATGCAATGTATTTATTTTTTACAGAGCCTTCTTCAGTTATTATTGCCACTAAACTGACATCTACAAAAACTATTTGCCTTTGTGGTATATACCAAACCACTCCGGTTACATTAACGCAACTGTTTTAACGTTCAGTTTCGAATGACATCAAATGGCCCTCGATCCTTAACTTAAGCTTAGTCAAAGATGTGTCTGGCAATTTAGAAGTGGAACACGTTGAAATCCACTGGAATTCGGTATTCATACTTCATTGACATAATTGCTCAAAGAGGTCAGTAAGCACCATAGTACATGACCAGTGTGAAGTCAGGTGAGGTAGACCTATGCCCAAGGAAGGTAGAACAAAGATGAAGTAGAGGTCATACATCTTTATTCACTATGTACATGGTAACATCGATTCCGTGGACAGAGAATGTCACTATCTGCGTTATCAGGCCGAGGACAGCAGCTGTGCCAGTACCAAAGGACCAAACTGGTGAAAATCTTCATCAATCAATAATAGGTGGCGTAGCTAGTGGGAAGTACAGACCGTCTCATGGTTGTTCGATGCAGCTGGAGGGGGAAGGCCCGTGAAGGTGTAGGCTTGCAGGATCGTTGATCTCAAAGTAGTTCGGGAGACTTCCGCTGATGAGGCTGTAGACAGTGAGATAAACAGGTGCTTGCTCAACCTGCGACAATCTGGTGAAGGACTGGAGTTCAGGCACAGTCGAAATCTTGGTCCCCCTCGCCGTAGCTATGACCGTACTGATAGCTGCAAGGTAAGTAGCCAGGGTAGAGGCCTTCAGTTTCTTACTGACTGACTGACTGAGTTTGCCTTTACGCCGCTTTTAGCAATATTCCAGCAACATCACGGCTGGGGACACCAGAAATGGGCTTCACACATTGTATCAGTTTCTTAGACATACGCAGGTGTTGTAGATATTCAGCAACAACCTGGGTGGATGCTGTAGTAGGAGATAGAATGCCCTCCAAACGTGGAAGTGTAGCGTCTGCGGGGACTCATGTAGTCAGTAAACCTTAGT